TAAAGGAGTTGCTGTAGAATTGCATCTTGTGCCAGTTCGCATTTTTTCAATTTGTATAACCACGGCATCAGTAGAACGGTTATTCTCTGCAATGGGATGGTATCACTCAGATTGTCATAATCGACTTCAGGTAAATTATTATTATTTTTTTTTTAAATACCAATGTATAAATTTATTGCCAATATAATGTGTCATTACTATACGAACTAGAATGAAATTAGAATGTTAAAAAAAACATCTTTTGTACTCTAACAAAATAATTATTTTTTAAACTACTAACCCTAACTATTATTCCTTATTTAAATCATTCATTTGTTAAATATTGTATTGGTAATAAAATATTCAATTAGTCACAGGATTATTTATGCTTATTAAATTTATATCTAATAGTATAAAAAAGTCCTTGCTATGAGCCAAATAAGATCAGAGCTTTTATATTCACGAAATATTGAGACGATTGATAAGTCATTAAAAACATATAAACAAAATATTGCTATTCCGTTTGAACAAATAAGTCCTGATAATGACAACAAAGAGGAATTTATATTATCAGATGAAAACACTGATAATATGAATATTGATATGGAAGATACTAGGGATAATGATCATATAGAAACAGTTAAGTGTGTAGATGACTGGAAAGTAATTGTAGAACGATGAATAAATCTAACTGAAGAAGATGATGAACATATGCAATATAATTTAGTAAGTTTAGATAAATCAGAACATTTAACCGACTTGTATGAAGAAGAAGATGAAGTAATGCATCAAAATTATTTAATTCATCCCGCAGATAATTTGGAAGCAAAATGGAAATTGACAGATATTTTTGTGGATTCGTTAGTACAACCTGATTCTATCTATTTTCTTTTGGGTAATTAGAAATGTAAGTGGTAATCTTATTTACAGTAAATGCGAATTTAACTAATTAAAAATTAATTTAACATAATATCAATTTAATAATTATGTACTTATGGGCTTTAGTATACCATTAGAAATTGACCAAACTATGCAACAGCTTTAAATAACAGTAGAGAAAGATTTCAACAGATATAAAGAATCTTTAGTAAATTTAAATAGTTAATTAGAAATTGACCCAAATAACAAAATAGCATTAATAAGTTAGGAATCACTTACGTATTTTAATAATCATGAAAAATATCTGTGAATGGATAATTATAAATATAGACATATTGGTTGTATTTTCATGCTTATTATATTTTATTTAAACTTCTTGTAGTTTTA